GGTACTCGGCTCCGTCGTCCTTCCTCGCGTTTCGGGTACGGCGTGCTCGTTCAGTTCCTCGGCCTCGCGGCCATGAGTAGGTCGGGGAGCCGCCGCGGCGGCAAGGTGGCGGTTCGGCCGACCGTCTAAGTCCCATCCCATCCCCCGCTCTCCCCGCTCCCTGCTCCCCGCTTTCCCCCCGCCGTTTTCCGCGTTCCTGCTCTCTCGGGTTCCGCTGCCCTCTCGGCCCGCGGTTTCAGTGCCGGGGCGGGCTGCTTTTCTAAGTTGGGCTCGGTGCGTGGGTGTGCCTGCAGCCCGTCGTGTTGCGCACCGCTGTCGGGGAGAGCAGTTGGGACAGCTGGCACGATTGCCACGAGCGACCCTAGCTCGGGCAGGGTACCCTCAAGCGCTTCGGATCTTCGTGTTTGGGGCTCCCCATCTTGGAGCGACTTTCTTTGCGACTTCGCCCCTTGGCGAAGGGGGTCGTGTGTTTCTTGATCCACATGCTCGTGGCAACGTTTCCAATGTATTCACCTCATGTTCGGTCTCCACCTCATGTTCGGTCTCTCTCGGGCCTCTCGGGCGGATGGGAAGGGAGCCATCAGCCGTGCGTCATAGACATCCTTGCCCCGAAGCACGGAGGAAGCAAAAGGAACACGAACCTGCACCAGAGCATAAGCACTCGGAGGTCCGCGCGGATGTCTTCGAGCGGCGCTGGACCCCCCGCGTCCTGGCGCGAGCAGCGCGCCAGTGGGGGGCCCTGCGCCGACCCGAGCGTTCCGCGCGGACCTCTGGAAGCTCGTGCTTGTGTGGTTGTCGTTCCTCTTTGAGGGAGGGGGGGTTCGCAGACACTGTTGCCGCCGCCATCGTTGTTGCCGCCGCCGCCGCCGTCGTCGTCGTCGTCGCAGTCATCGTCGCCGTCGTCGTCGTCGTCGTCGTCGTCGTCGTCGTCGCCGTCGTCGTCATCGTCATCGTCGTCGTCGTCGTCGTTGGCGGCGGCGGTGGGCCCCCGCGCGGCGCGCGCAGGACATCTCGCCCGCCAGTATGAGCCGCGCCCGCGGCCGCGGGGGGCGGTGGGGCGCCCTCCCCTGCGGAGCCGCGGCGCCGACCCGACCCGAGGGCTTCCGATTGGCTGCGGGCGCTCGAAGCACAAGTCGGCCGCGGCCTCGGGCAGGAGGCTGGCGTGGAGGGGAGGTCGCCATGGGCGGCTAAGAGTAAATGTACGGAACCCGTTACCGCTGCCTCGATTTCGCCTTTTGGGGCCTCCTGGGAGGCCCTCGTTGCCACCGCTGGATTCGCCCCGAAGTTCTCGTCAGAACGCAGCACGGGAGAGGTCCGTGGAGTAGCGGTATCGGTACTTCTTGGTATCCCCAATAGGGGGGTGATGTTTGGGGGGGTGGGCATCATGGCCGGGCCTCGGGATTTCCCCAGATAGTTCGAGCACGTCTCTTGCCCCTCCCCCCCCCCCCGGGACGCGCCGCGCACGCGCCTCGGGCGATGGAGGGACGTCGGGGGCGTCGAAGATCGGGTCGGACGAGAAGGGGGGGGTCGGACGATGAAGTGGACCTCCCTTTTTATCGAATGGCATTCGGCACATCCCGCCGCTGTCTGGGTCTTGGGTCTGAAGCCTCTTGGATGGTCGTTGGGATCTCGTCGAGGCCTTTCGGGGGCCTCCTGGGCGCAGTTGTGAGGACTTCTGGGGTCTGTTGTGGAGCCTCTTTTGGGCCTCTTGGGGCCTCGTGTGGGCCTCTCGGGGACCTCTTGGGGCCTGATGGGGGCCTCGTGGTGCCTCCTGGGCGCCTCTTGGGGCGGAAGGCTCGGATGTTTGGATCGTACTCCCCCGCTTGGGCCCCATTCGGGGCCGTCTTGGGGCTCTCTTTGGCCGTCTTCGGAGCCTCATGGGCAGCCTTGGGGCCCTCTTGGGTGCCTCTAGGGCCGTCTTGAGGCGGTCTTGAAACACCAATTGACGATCACTGATGGTGGCCTCTCGTGGTCCTCTTAGGGGCGCTCTTTGGACGCCTCGAAGGCTTCCCTGGCCATCCTGGGGCCATCTTGGGCGTCTTGGACCGATCGTGCGGCGATTCCGGACTCTCTTGGACCGTCTGGGGGGCCTCTCGGGGCCCTCTCAGTCTGTCTTGGGGCCCCCTTGGGATCGAGCAGTCACGCGACAGGGCGCGACACGCCCCATAAGGCACGCGGGAAAGCCCAACAAGATTTGGTAACTTCGGCTCCAGACCCCTTGAGGAATCTTCAGGATTGAGGACTCAGACTCCAGGCGATCGGACAAGGGACCTGAGGACACTCCAAGTCGTTCCTCAAGGACATGGTGGCGGATCTGGACGTGGCAACACACATATCGTGGTGGCAGGTTGTTCAACGTGTTCTGCTTCTGGAGGCCGTTTCCCAAGCGCGTGATTGTCAATAAAACGACTCAGGGTCAGATGCTGGCCCCGAGAAGGGGGTTCAGATCCCCAGGGCCTCAGGGGCCCACGTCGTGAAACAAATGCGACGTCGGAGGAGATGGTCGGATAGACGGTACAGATGGGATGATGAGGAGGATGAGGAGGAGAACGGGGAACAGGCTGGAGGCACGGCATAATGATTGGCGATGCACAAGTGCACCAAGCGTCGCTCCACTCAAGCTGACCTCCAAGTTGACTCCGACTGGGGACAGGGATGAGAAAGATGATACTCAGGATGACCAAGAGAAGGAGGCCCCACGTCCTCTCCCCGCTAGACGCTTGGTCTCCTCCTTCGTCGCCATCCCTTTCCCCTCCTCGCTGGTCCTCACTGCTCCTCCCACCCACCCTCCCCTTCCCTTCCCGCGGGCGCAGGAAATCACGCCGGGGGCCGAGGCAGGATTTGAGGGAGGCGGATGAGGAGAAGGAGCAGGAGCAGGAGAAGGAAGAGGAAGAGGAGCAGGATAAGTGAAAGGAGGGGCAGAGGAGCATGAGGAGGAGAAGGAGGAGGAGGAGTTGCAGCAGAACGAGGACGAGAAGGTTGAGGAGCTGGAGAAGCTGGATGAGAATGATGACGACGACGTGACGGAGCAGTGGACGGAGCAGGTCGGTGGGGATGCCTTCGAGGCCCTCCGGCAGCCCCCGGAAGTCGCCCGTGAGTTCCCGCCGCCCCTTCTTTGTTAGCCCTCCCTGCGTCCCTCCCCCAGTAGATCAAGCCTGGTCGACCATGGTCGACCCAGAGTTCCGACGCTCAGACATCAATTGGGGCGGACGGTTTTGACCTGTTTTCGGCCTCCGGGGGCCTCGCCGGGCCTCCGATCAGGCCCCGAAGACCACGACACGGACGAACCAGGACATTGGCAAGCCGGGGAAACCACACCCTTGACTGCAAAGTAAGGTTTGGTCGTCCGGTGCCGTTTTTTTTTTCCTGCTGCACTGCAGGATTCGGGTCCTTGTCCGAGTCTGGGGGGAATGCATTGAGTGCTTATGTCCCGGATCATTCCGGAAACGTTGCAATGCAAGATCTGTTTCGTGCTTCCGTCTGTCAGCGAGCGAAGAACGGTATAAAATCAACTTTCCGCCGTCGGGGACACCTGCCCCTGGGCGGCTGTAAATTTTATACCCCTACGGTGCCACCGTAAGGGTATAAGCTTTCCAGCCGCCCTGGGACAGGCGCCCCCGACAGCGAAAAAGTTTATTTTACACCGTTCTTCGCCCGTTAAGTCCGGAAACAATGGTTTCGAGGGACGTTGCATGTCCTGGTCTAGCGCGTCGGGGTCTGCGGGACCCTGATCCGACCCCGGACGCAAAAATTTGCCTTAGGGGAGTGGTCCAGACCTCTGGGGCCCACGCATCGAAGAACTTGGAGCAGCCAGATGTCTGGGGGCGCCCAGGGCAGACCTGGGGGCGGGGGCGGTCTGTGGATCGCCGCCGTCGCTCGAGCTTCGAGCATGTGGTGGTGTGGCATGTAGCACGCGGTAGAGTCCTCGCCTCTCTCGACTCTGCCCCCGCCCCGCCCTCCCAAAGCGCGCGCTCGCTCGGGCGCGCGCGCGCGCGCGCAAGGGAGCGTTTTTTTGCCGTAGAGGGGGGAGGACGGGGGGAAGCGGGGCGAGAGGGCGTGTTGGGATTGGGAGGAGGAATCTGCTGCGCGCAGCTGTGTTCGGCCCGCCGCCGAGAGCCAGTTCATGTCAGCTTGCGTGTGATTGACAAATGATGGCCCCCCCTGGGCTGATGGATAGACCTCGCGGGGCGCGAAACATGTTTTGAATCACGCGCGCCAGGGCGCGGAGAGCTCGGGGAACCACCGCGCCGCGGATGATGGCAAACGGCATGAACGACGGGAAAGGAGGAGGAGGAGGAGGAGGAGGAGGAGGAGGGGGAGGAGGAGGAGGAGGAGGAGGAGGAGGAGGAGGAGGAGGAGCAGAAAAAGGAGGAGCAGAAGACGAATAAGAAGAAGAAGAAGGAGGAGGAGGAGGAGGAGGAGGAGGAGGGGGAGGAGGATGAAAAGGAACTATGCGCTGCTCAGCTCTGCGCCTGGCTGACCAACCTTTTTGGCCTCGCTGCGGGGCGCTGATGTGGACGCATGTCCTGCGGGAAGGGGGCCCTTGCAGGTTTTTCCTGCTTTCGGCTCCCTGGGCCGTCGGCGGGCCCCGAAGCAGCCGAAAAACGACCGAGCTGGTCGCCGCGAAAACTCCAGGGTTCTGAGCCCGCTTCCTTCAGGGCCAGGCGGCGGGAGCTCCGCTCGAATGCGAAACAGGGAAATAACGCGGCGGTGACGGCGCCGACGGTCCCTGCCTTGGCCCCCCTTGCCTCCCGCCTCCCCATCCCCCAGTCCGTGTTGCTCCTGTCGCTTTCTTGTTGGCGGCCGGGCGTCGGCGGCAATCACCGGCACCGCCGCCGCGCATTTCAATTTGGCGGGCGCCCCCCCCGCGATTTGCCCACCATCTGTTTGATCACACGCCCCGCTGGTTCCTGGTAGTCACAAGCTGACACCAAGTGAGCTGATCAGCCCCCCTCCCTGCTATCCCCCCCGTCAGTCCGCCCCGAAAAGGGGGTGGGGGGATGGCGCGGAAGAGGTGGGCGCAGTGGAGATGGACCGCCTACCCGTTCTCCAGTCTCCCCCGCTCCTCGAGGCCCCTCGTCCGCTCGTTCCCCGCATCCCTCCAGCCTGCGCTTCGCCCCGTCCTTTTCCAACATCTTGGATGCGAGAAAAAGTTGGATGGAAGAGTTCGGAGGAAGGTGTTTTCCGGGGCACGCGAAGAAGCGGCCACAACATCCAATGGGGATGATGGAGGCGGGGGGGGGGGGAGAATGGAGCATGGGGATGAGTAGACTGATGAAGAGGATGAGGAGCAGGGAGAGGAGAACGACGAAATCGCGCAGGAGGAGAGAACGCGGGATGAGGAGAAAGGAGCAGGGACGAGGAAATGGAGGAGGAAGAGGAGAACAACGACGAGCCTCACGATTGCGATGAGGATGCTGAGGATGATCATGATGCTGATGATGATGATGAGGAGGAGGAGGAGGAGGAGGCGACGGAGGCGCATGCCAAAACCTCCAGCGAGGTTTTCTGCTCGGCGTATGCCCCCCAAAGTTCTCTTTCCCAAAGGGGGCTCGGTTTGTCGTTGTGGGTAATCGTATACTTCCGGTTCCGACCTCCGACGTTGGACATTTGTTCTTAGTTTGAGCCCCCCCGTGTTTTCTACCTCATCCGCTGTTGGTCGCGGTGGTGTTTTATGGTTGCGGCCCTTCGCAATCGCGAGGGGAAATGTGCGGTGATGTTTTCGCCACCTTGGACATCTGAGCCCCGCCATCTCGGGTGTGATGAGGGGGGGATTGGGGACGGGGGGGTACGGCCCCGCCACCCAGGCGTTTTCCTCCGTACATGGCCGCTTCCGCCGCTGGGAGGGGCCCACAAAAACCAGCAACCCCTTGGTTGATTCGCTACCCCGCCCCGCTTTTCTATCACCCCTTTTTGTCCGACCCGATCTGAGCCCCCTCATCCACAATCAACCCCCAGAATCTCACCAGGCGTGTTTGTTTGGCGAGAGTTTGAACTGGATCCAGACGCGGCGGCAAGAAACCTCCCAGAACCCACGAGTCGCTCAACAATCTCAATATTTGACCCCCGAACCTTGATGTGAATGCGTTGCGACAAGGATTTCGAGAAAAAAGGAATCCAGCGCGGCCACGATATTTCTCTGCCCAAGCAGAGGTATTCCCTCGAATCGCAACAAGACTTGTACCCAACTGTCTACGGCAAGTCCAGCCACAGCAGCACGCTGGTGACGCTTCGAGCGCTGCCCATAAGGCCGCAGCGTGTAACATGTGGCACATCTCGTTTATATTATTTGAGGGCCTCTCATGTGGTTGCCTGGGCCTTTTTGGGGGCTTTCTTTGGCTCCTGTGAGGCCCGCTTCCTCCGGGGACCCTCTTCCGTCGTTTGCGGGCCCTCTTGGGTCGTCATGAGAGCTCTCTTGGGCCGTTTGGGGTCCCTTTTTTCCGGTGCTGTTCTGAGCAGTCTGGGGGGCTTCTCGAGGCCCCCGTTGGGTTCGTCAAGCCTCTCTCTGGCTCCTCCGAACTCTCGGAGCCTTCTTGAGCTGAGAGGCCCAGGAAGCGCGAAGTGAGCAACACAGTTTGGAGTTACATGTCTGCCGGTGAATCCAACACGTTCAGTTATTACACCGCGGATGTGCAACATGTGTGATGCCATATAGCTGTGCGGTGTAGCAATGCTGCGCAAGTTGTATGTATTATGTTCAAGCTATGCGGCACAAGCAATGCAGTGCAAGCTGCGAAAGCCATGCGGTGAACACTACGTGGTGTAAACTGTGTGGTGTGCGCCGTGTGGTGCAAGCTAAGCGGTATACGTTTCGCGGCGTAAGTTATACAGTTGAATCAGGATCAGTATGAAGGATCAGTATGAGCTATGTGGTGCCAGAGATGTAGGTAAAGCTATGTGGTAAAAGCGGTGTGTTGCAAACTACGTGGTGCAATGTGCAACCTATGTGGTGCACATTATGCGGTGCAAGCTCTGCGATGCAAGCCATGCGGCTTCCCACGATGCGCCCTCGGGCGGGCACCAGTCGAAACCCTGGCGAACGCAGCCATCGCTCGGGGCGCCCACGAGGCGCCCCCAGCCGTCAACCAATCAGGCGCTGCCTGGCTGGCCTTCTGGCCTTCGCTCTGATGACTCGGAATCCTTTTGGGGGGCCCTTCGCGCCTCTTGGGGTCCTCTCGGGGGCTGTTGGGTAGCTCTTGAGACAGGGTGGCGCCATCGTGGCGGCCTTGGTGGCCTTCCTGGGCCGATTTGCACACTGAGCCTCGGGAGAGTGGGGATATGCAAGCAGCAACGTATGATCAGGATCAGGGGGGAGGCGGGGAATGGCTTCATTAGACGACTTAGTTACAAAACCCTCCGGGCAGCACTTGGCATCCTACCACGCCTCAATGTGCAACGGTGGCAACTGATGCCGTCCTCCCTCTCAGGGTCCACCTCGATCCGACTCAGTCAGGTATCGATTCCTGCTGGCCCGATCCGATTCGATTCCAATATTCGTGCCCGATGTTTGTCCGACGTTGTTGTGCAATCTGGCGCGGCCAATCCGACTGTATCCCGACTCGCAGCCGAGGCGGCCCGATCCGAGGCGCATTCCAATCTGATCCGATTTCGCGGAGGTGTTCGGTCATGGAACCCTTGTTGAACGTCGCAACCATCCAGATTTCGCGCCGAAGTCCGCTGGACACCGCCGAAGACCGCCTGAAACAGCCGACGACAATCAGATGATCGCTGGACGCCGCCGAAAACCGCCGAAGGCCGTCCGGAGACCACCGAAGACGGCCCAGGACCGATAGGCAACAAGGGGTCCATGGTCGAGCACGCAAGATTTCGCGATCCGATGCAGACTGATCTTTCGGGCCGGGCGAAAGGGGGGGATTGGGAAAGGGGGGGTTACGAAATTTGCTGCATGCAGCTGGTTTCGGCCTCACCGAGGGGCCCATTCCTCGATACATGGCCGCCTCCGACGCCGGGAGGCGCCGGGAAAATCAGCTACGTGAGCTGATTCTCAAACCCCCCCTTTGCTATCCCCCCCTTTCGCCCGACCCGAATCTTGCCCTCTTCGGCCCTCGAGATCCAGGGAGAGGGGCGCGCGCCCCCAGGCGCGCCAGAGCGGCGAGTCCCCGGCGAGCCTGCGGGCGCGGGTGTTGGATGATCCGGAGGCCGCGGCGGGGTGGGGCATCGAGACAACGCGCCCGCCCTGACAGGCCGATTGAGTCCCGGCCTCCCAGACGGGGTCCAAGTAGATGGGGTGGGGGGATCGCGCCGCATCCTCCTCATCCGACCCCATCTGGGCGTGGGTCTTCTCGACGCTGGAGTATCGGACACCCCTGCCACCACTTCGCTTCAGACACCCCTCCAATTCTGAACCCCGGCTGGTTGTTCAGGAATATGACCTGAAAGGGTACAAGGGTTCTCCTGTCGCCGCGCCCTTTGTTCCAACGCGCGGCCGTAATTCGCTGGCGCGTATTACCTCAACCTCAATCTCTCTAATGTTACAATCTCTCTCATTTTGAGAGCGCCGCGGACACCAGGCATGCCGCCTCGGCCCCAGGGCTGGCCGTTGGTTTGCCGCGGTGCCGGCGCCGTCTACGTGGGCGCGGGACGCGACATTTGCCGTCGGTGTTTGCCGCGATGTCGGCGTCGCCCACTTGGGCTAGTCGAGGGCAAGCGGCGTGGCGACACATGTGGCTGCCGAACATTCGCACTCGCAGTGGACCCTTTCAGCCCTGTGTAGGTGTCGTTCACCGGCGCGTGTCTCGCTGGATACAGTAGGTCGTTTCTGGAGGTCGGCAAGTTTTTCCGTCCAGGCGGGCTGTTGCCCGCGCGGGTGCGCTCGGAGTGCGGTGCCGCACACGCCCGTCGAGCGCCCCTGGCAGTTTTCACCAATGGGCGCTCTTATCTGTCGCCGCGCCGTTTGCTCCGACGCGCAGCTCAACGTCTTGGGGAGGGCGCCTCGGGCACCAGGGCAAACGCCGCCTTGGACGCAGTGGGTTCGCCGAGGGCTTGCCGTGGTGCCGTCTTCGTCAGCTTGGGCCCTGGACGAAGGTTTTGCCATGGGCCATGGGTTTGCCGTGCCGTCGGCGTCGTCCACTTGGGCACGTCGATCAACACGGCGCGGCGACATATCAATGAACGGTCATGGCGCCAACATCGCAGAGTGGATATCGGCGGAAAACAATAGGATTGGCCCGGAGTTTCCTGGATAATTTCGTTCCGGATTTCAAGGTGAACTTCGTGCGGATTGTTTTGGCCAGGAATGAAGACCAAACAAACACCCACGCGAAATTCACTTCATTTTTCGCTTGACGTTTCGGGCAGAAATCCGCTGCAGGACGTCTGCAAGGCCTGTTCAATGAGAAGGGGTTCTGTCATCCTCGAGAGAGGGACGATGACCGAATAAAAGCACTACGGATTCGTGGATCGGCCCTGGCCAGTCTTGAGTCATTTGTTGCAGCATCCAAGCCACTGTTTTGTAGCACACTGTAAATAACCGACTTGGGCTGTAGTTCTCTGGCAAACTGGCAGTTCCGTTCGCATTCATGTGTGAATCCTTGTTATCTCCATGTCCGGGGGTATACGAGAGGGTATTCAGTTTTCCGTGGATGAGCAAGCAGGGAGGCACATGCGGCTTTTGGTGGAGGTTGGAGTTTCCAAAATTCTGGGTTCGATATCAGCAGTGCCTGCTCTCCTTTATACTGCCAGTTCTTATTACTTGTTTGTGATTACTCCATTGTGACCTTCTCTGCGCTGATCGGCGGAGAATGTCCCATGGTCTTCCCCCTACCAGCCCAGAAGCCAGCTTCTCTGAGAAGCTGATATTGCTTTGATCGTTTCAATCTGCCAGCATGCTTGAGCAGTCCTCACCCTCAGCGATATCTCCCTGTTTACTTTGGTTGCAACCGGCATGCGTGTCAGTCCCCATATAGATATCGAATATCCCCAACCAGGATATAGTTCAGCAACTTTTCCCCCCACCTTGCGGGGGGGCTCCCGTGCAGTATGCTGCTGAGGAGTTTGGGGGAGGGGCACTTGAAATTTGGCCCGGGTCACGGGTGGATGGCCGGCGGAAGACGGTCGTAAATTTGCAGTTGCGGTTTCGGTCGCGCTTCAAGAGGCGCTTGACAACCCAAGACGACACAAGAGCGCACAAAGAGTCTTCAAGATAGCTTGAAGGCTGCGCAAGAGGCCCCGAAGATGCCCTAAGAGGCCCCCAAAACGACCCCGAAGAGGCGAACATCATGCCATTCCCGAAGCAAAACGCACGTGTTTCGCAGGTTCCCCCAATGGTCGTCACAGCGACCACGACGGCCCAAGAGGCCCCCAAGATCGGCCCAAGACTGCCCAAGAGGGCCACAGGAAAGCCCGAAGGCTGTCCAAGAGAGGCCTCCGAGAGAGCCGAAGAGAGCCATAACCCAGCCTAAGAGACGCCCGGATGGCTCCAAAGAGTTCTAAGATCGGCCCAAGATTTTCCAAGAGGCCCCCAGAGAGTCCAAAGACAACCCAAGACAGGCTCCAGAAGGCTCCCAAGAGAACCCGAAGAGCGGCACAAACTGCCCCCACGCGGGTCCAAGGGATCCCCCACAGCGCCCCAGGACGGCCCCAACCCCCCAAGAAGACCCAAGAGGACCCCAGGCAGCGCAGACTTGCCCGAATCCCACGATCTCGCCCTTCGTCACTCCCCTTTCTCTCTTCTCCGTTCCGTGCCTCATCACCCTGTTCAGGGACCCCGCCGAGGCTTCAATCAGGCAAGGCATTGCGCAGGAAATGGACAACGCGGGAACGATCATACGATTATTTGTGTCCAGCTCTTCCCTGACAAGTCTCTGCCTCGCAATTTAGGACCACCGCAGGGTAACCCTGAGAAGGCCCACTGGACTTTCGAGCGACTCCTCCGATACGTCTCAAGCGTTTCCCACAGGCTCCCCGGAGGTCCCAGAACGGCCCCGCTTCGCCCCAGCGTGCAGTCCAGAAACGCAGCCGCACAGACAAAGCCCTCGGGTGACCAACAGCGATTACGCGAAATTCCAAGCCAGCCTTTTACATAGCCGTGAGCGGCCTACTTCGGCCCTCAAGCGGAATCGCACAACGCGGGAACGCACAATGCTCTAAGGTCGGGGTGCGTGGCTCTTTCGGGTATGTGTCCGTCGTATTGCTTTCTTGATGTCTCGATGCAGCTTCGTTTCTTCTCCCATGCTCGTTGCCCTAGCTTGGCCGCCTTGCGCGACTAGGGTCGCGGTGGCCCCCCACATCCATATTTGTTGTCGTCGTGGTTGAGGCCATACTGCGATATGCAGCCTATTACGCATAGATCGTACAATATTCAAATTTGCATAGTCCAATGACCCTGTCCTGAACATATCAGAAGATATACCAGCAATTCGCCCCAGACAACATATGGATTGGCTCTCTGAGCGTGGTAACGCTATCATCTGGTTTGGTCTAGTTGTTTACATGCGATCGAGGTACCCGATATAGCACGTGCCATGTATTACCTTGTTGGTGAAGAGGGTCGGCGGCAGCTTCATGTATGATGTGTCACGTCCATCGTTGTCGTCCCCGCTAAGCAGTCATTGATACGTGCGCCATGCTCTTGAGAAGATGCGTTGCTTGCGCCTACTCAGGGTATTCTCGTGGTATGCGACGTTGGTGTTGGCGGTCTGCTAAACAGCGTGTTGGCAGTTTTGGAGCTACAAAGAGGTCAGGAGAACAAGTGGCACACTGACAAACAACATTCGAAGAGGCATGGCTGACTATCTACATGCTGTGCCCACGAAAGGGATCAGACAGACCACCAACTGAGGAGCGCAAGTTTGCGGGGCGCACAATGCTCCGAAAAACCGTGTGGCCTCGTATGGGAGGCAGGCAGACACGATCTGGGCAATGTTGGTATGTGCAAGTAGAAGTTTGCAGACACGCGCACCCACGCACATATTCCACCTGTACGACCACCCTTCGGGTGATAAGAAGGTTGGGGCAGGGGAAAGAACCAACTGCTGGCAACTGCGATGGTTGCAATGCAATGAGTGGTCGCTAGGACTGGTACCAGGAGAGCCCACTGAACCGATCCCACAGTCGATCTCACCACCTATCGATCTAGCTATCGATCTCACTCAACTCATCTCGCTATCGATCCCGCAGTCGATCTCACAATTGATTGCACTATCGATCTTTTGATCCATCGTACTATAGATCTCACTCTACCGATCTCACTATCGATTTCACATGCGACCAATCTAGCAATCTCAAGCGATCTCAAGCGATCTCAAGCGACATAGATCTCACTCAAGCGATCTCAATCGATCTCACAATCAAGCTCGCAATCGATCCAACCTCTCTGTCGATCTCGTGATCCATCTCACGATCGATCTGTCTGTTGATCGAGACACCATCGGGACAACACGGCGGAAAACCACGGCGGGACACCGCGGGACACCATTGGACACCGCGGAACACCCATGGGACACCGCGGGATACCACGGGACACGAGACACCATCGGGACACCACGCGAGACGCCACTGCGGGACACCATGAGGACCAATCGGGACACCACTGCGGGACACCCCCAGCCACCGTGCGCCCACCAGAGGGCCAGATTTTTGCATCCGAATCGCCTTAGCGATTGCGGGATCATTCCTCTCGTGCGCCCACGGCCACCGCGCGCCCACCAGAGGGCCGGATGTTTGCATCCGAATCGTCCTGGCTACTTCGAGATCGTTCCTCTCACGCCCACGCAGCTTCGCCTCGCACGCACGACACGAACACGAAACCGAAGGAGGGTTCCCCGTTCCACTGCGATCTCGCCCCCCCAACTTCTGATACTCGAGAAGCTTACGCCATTCCGCCGACCCCCAGGGTCCCAGACGAAGTGAGGAGTCTAGGAGGAGTGCGGGTTCGAGGTGTGATCGTGAATGTTGTACAGGACGACGTGGGATTCTAGTCATGTTGGGCCGACGTACCCTCCGGGGGGGCAGTGAATCACCTCACACGTGTGTGCACTCGCGGCACATTGATGCAGGCGGAGTCGGACAAGGCAAAGTTGCGGGCAGCAGAACGGTCCGGGTGGGTGTGCCAAAGCTTCGTCGTTGTGCCGCCTCGTGGCCGCCTCGTGGGCGCCTCGTGCGCCTGGTCGGTGTGCTGAGGTCTCCCCGGGGTGCCTGCCCGTGGCTGCCCGTGGGAGACTCGTGGCTGCCTCGTGCGCTGAGTGGGTGTTCCGAGGTCTCGGCTGGTTTCTGCCCGTGGCCGGTGCGTGGCCGCGCGTGGGCGCCCGGTCGGCGCCTCGTGCGGTGGGTTAGGCCGGCCGAGGTTTCGCCTGTTGGTCGCCCGTGGCTGCGACGTGGGCGTCTCGTGTGCTGTGTGTGCTGTGTGCTGTGCTGTGTGTGTGCAGAGGTGTCGTCTGGTGCCCGCCTGTGGCCGCCTCGCGTGCGCTTCGCGGGCTTTGATTCACCCCAGCAATTCAGAGCATACGCTCAGGGCGTGGTACAAATGCCCGTTTTGGGCCTCCCGCCCTCGCGCGGTCCATCAACAAGGAACAGTAAGCAGCAAGAAGCAGAACTGTAACAATGGAAACTGGAAGCTGCAACTGGTACAGGAAACTGCGAACCTTCGGCCTACAGCCTGGTGGCCCCACAAGGGGGCCGGCGGATTATTTTACGCGGAGCGTCCCCCTCCCTCCCAAGCGCGCGCGCAAGGGTGTTCGAATGATTTCGGCGTGCGGCGCGGGAGGCCCGTTTGGCAGAGTTCATTGAACATCAAAACAACGATCCCAATGGTTTAATAAAGGGTTCACCAGCACGCGACTGGAGTTTTGCTTGTGAAGCATATGTTGCAACACCATGTGCTGTTTTTGGTATATGTTCGGGAGACTCGATTTTTTGAACTATGTACGAAACCTATGCGTTGTACGACTTTTGGCGTGCGCGCTTGGGCCGTATTGAGCACAGGCGCCAGAGAGCCGAAAACGCAAACATCTTGGAAACACGGATAGGGGATCAACGTCGTTCGCCTTTTGAGGCCCTGTGGGGGGTTTTGGGTCGTCTTGAGATATATTGGGTGTGTTTGGGGCTTCTCCGGCGCAGTGGAGCTCTTCTGGAGATCTCTTAGAAAACATTTGGGGATCTTGCCACAACGGACGGTGGATCTTGAGGCTCCAAGATCCCATGGGGTGATGCGCGCGCCCCCCCCGCCCACACGCCCACAACCTTCTTCAAGTGCGATTTCGGAGGACTCCAGTGGAGAGGGAAAGGGGGAAAGGTGAACGCCAATCATCGCACACGCCAGCTCACCCCCAGCAAACGGGGGTCGGCGGATGTCCCTCCATGCCTCTCACTCTTCTTCTCCCTCCCGCTCTCTCTCTCTCTCTCTTTCTCTCCCTTGTTCTCTCCTTGTCCGATTCCTCCTTGTTAGTTGGTCCGCTCTGTCCTCTTCCATATCCTTGAAAGCTTCCTGATTTTCTGGGTTCGCCCCCCCTCCGCCGATCCATCAGGTCCTGGGTTCCGCGCTCGACCTTGTAGGAGCGTACCTGAAGAACTACGAGGCGTGGGTTCTTCACTGTTCCTCCAACCCTCTGACCTGCAGTTGCCTCCTCTTGTGCTGCCTCCGAGGGCCGCAGGCGGGGGATCTCGCAGCCTCGAGCAGTCGGGCAGACGGCCGACCGCTAGACGACAGGGGCAGAAAATGGGGGAGGAAAGGACACGTCGGCGAGATGGGCGGCAGGCAGGCTGGCACCGCACGGGGGGAGGGAGGCGAGGAGAAGGGACCCTCACACAGGCCGTTCCAGAGGTGGCCTCGCCCTCGAGGGATCGAGAATGTGGCCTTTCCTCTTCGGCAGGTCCCCGGCGATCGCAGAACGGTGGCGGCTCCGCGGGCGGAAGGCGACCCAAGGCCAACGGAAGCAAAACATGGCGCCGCACGACGAGTCAGGCCTTCTGGCGACGCCAGGATGCGATGTGCGCGTCAGGCCACCGTCGGCTTTTCACGGGACGTCTCCTTGACTTGCGCTGCTCCTGGCTTCTGCCCGGCCAGGCCACATTAAGTAACGCATGGCTACCGATGCGTGACATGCCAACTTGCCTGGGTTCAGTGAGCCATGCAGTCGAGACCGATGAGCAGGTCGGTCCTGCAGGATCAGTGGCAGTTGTTGCTTCGTGGCCTCGGCAGAGCAGTTCTTTGCCCTGGGAGTTCTGTTCGCCCGATGCTGGTTGAGACATCGGCGGCCCTCCTCTCGCCTCGCCTCCTCGCCCTCCTAGCCCTCCTCGCCCTCCCCCTCCTCATCCTCCTCCTCCCTCTCCCACCTCTCGCTCCCCCTCCTCCTCCCCCTAATCGCCCTCCTCCTTCTCCTCCTGCTGGACCTCCGCCTCGGGGTCTCCCTTTGGCGGAGGCGCATCGGTCACCTTTTTCGTAGGCAAGCCGTGGGGGCGAGACGCCGAAGGTGCCAGCAACGGTACGATACAGAATCCATGCGAGGCAAGAAAACACAGCGCGAGGACAAAAAAGGCGATTGCCACGGCCAGGCGGCTGTCATCTTGCACATCCTCCACCTGCACCCTGCGGCACGCGATAGATTGGCCCACAGCAGCGTGCATCTCCCTTCATCACTGTCTGAGCCTCCAAAGCCACCGCCATCGTCTATGCACGCTCTGCGGTCCAGCTACAGATGCGAAGCTGCACTGAGCTAGAAACGCCACGCCGGAGCCACAAGCAATCCGTCGATCAATGAGGGTGATCAGGCTGGTGGGCAATGAGTGGGGCCATGCGCTTTCGCGCGTGCGAGGCTTCCAATGGACTGGGCATGCAACGTACTGCTGCTTACGAACCCAGTCTAAACTTGCCACGCACGCTTCCGCTAGGATGCGCACGCTGGCTGTCAGGCTGGGGTTGGACGAGCAGTGGGCCTCCGTGCCCGAAATCGTCGTCCAGGGTGCGACGCACGTCTCCACGACATCCTTTTCATCAACCTCCTCCCCCCCACCTCCAGGCCACATCTGCTATGCACGCGGCGCTGTTTGATAACCGGTGCCAGGACATGCGCGCCAGCCCATCGCGGCAGGCAAGGGGTAGTTCGCGCAGGCGTCGACGAGCTCACGCGCCAACAGGAGAGGCGGCGGCGGCGCAGCGATGGCAGCCAGCAGCGGCAGCAGGCCATCAAAGACAAGCCAAACCATATTATGATCAGATGAATGATGAGAGAGTCAGGTAAGACGATCAGGAGCAGCAGGTACAGGTGGAGAAACCAGCTTCGGCTGAGATAGGTAGCTGAAGCCCGTCCAGGCGTCTGCCCGACAGGGCCTGGGCGCGGCAGCACGTCGCGCCCTGGATCGAGCCGCGCCGTTACGACCTGCGTCGATGGCGAGAGGCTGTCGTCTGCAGGGACCACAGCCATGCTCGCCGTCCACCACCTCCCCAGCCCTCTGCAGCCCAATCCCCCGCCCCACAAAGTGGCCGAAGAAGGCCTCCACTGCGAAATTAAACACGTCTCCGAACTGCCTGCGTAAACCACCTCGACCCGCAGAGGCTCGGAACAGTGGCCTTAAAGCGGCGTTGAGCGCCTCCAGTGGTCAACGCACGCTCGAAGACCGGCCACACTTGCGAAGCTACACGAAGCCAGGCACCAGGGCGACCGTGCGAGGCTGACCGAGGTATCAGACATAAGCTCAGCCTAGTTAAGTCACGGTCGCCAAATTCTTCTGCAGTGGCACGTGCACAGCAGTCACGCCCCACCACGTCACCTCCAGTCCTTCCTCCTGCTCCTCTCCTGAGCCTCCTCTTGATCCTCCTCCTCCTCCTCCTCTCGATCGCCCTCGCCCCAGTCCTGAAACCACGAGCCTAACTAAGAATACACCAAGAAAGCGATCCATGTCGATGCCCTGTTGGATGCCGCCAGGTCTACGGTAAGACGCTGGCCATGATAACAGACTCAGGCACGAGCTAAGCCGAAGTCACAGAGGACGCGTCAAATTTCATCAAATTCTTCACGCAGCTCGGCATGCAGCAGAGCAGTTACAACGTGATATGGGTCCTGCCGAAGAATCAAGTATTGTATCGATTTTGGATCTGTCGGAACTGCAGACTTGTGCCTTCGATGATGCTTGATCGTCTGGTCTATATGAAAGATCTGTAGCTGCTCCAATCTCTAGATCACGTCGAAAACCTAGCCGCCTTGCAGCAGAGCATTTGTAAAGTGATGCTAGCTGTCCGAGTGCAGCTCAAGTAGTAGATCGATCTCAGGCCTCTCGAGGTTGCCGGCTTTTGATGTTGATCCCACACGGTCGGTTGTTCGATCTGAGACTTTTGCGTTTGTTCTAAGTCTTGAGATCCAATCGAGAAATTTAGTCGCCTTCAAGCAGTGCAGTTGTAATGTGATGCGAGTTGTTCGGATGTAGTTCGGGTACCAGATCGAGATTAGGTCGTTCCAGGCTGCGGACTGATGCTTTCGATCATGCCCAATCGATTTGTATACATGGGAGCTCTGTAACTGATGTAAGTAGTGAGATCAAATCGAGAGATCCTCCGCCTTGCAGCAGAGCAGTTGTAAAGCGAAACTAGCTGTTCGAACGTAGCCCGGGTAGCATATCGAGATCAGGTCGTTCGAGGCAGCAGATTTCTACTCTCGATCTTGCGTGGTCGATTGGTTTATATGAGAGCCCTGTAGCTGCTCAAATGTTCGAGGTCAAAACGAACAGCCGCACGCATGCAGAAACAATGTGTCGAGGGCGCGCTACCGCCCTGATATCTTCCCCCTTCAAAGCGGTAGGATTGACCTGATATCAGGATCGCGGACAGGAATAACATCTTAGTTGCCTGGAGAAGTCGTTCGAGGCCCAACGAATGGTACACTTTCGAGCAGCAGATGGTCAACCGACCTCTTTGCACCACACCGTCCGTTTAGATTGCGCTTGCTCACTAGGTTGTTTGTGTTGCAGGATCGTTATCTAGGTTCAGTTGCTTTTCAGTCTGGCAAGTTCTACGGGTCACTACTGCGCATTCGCCCATGCCCGTCGTCTCACAGCCTCCCTGCAGGGCCTCCTCTGATCTCCTCCTCTCCTCTTCTTCTTCCTCTTCTTCTTCTGCTTCGATTGTCGTTTCCAGTTATCCTGTCCTTCTCTGCCTTCCTTCTCTACTCTCTCCCTATGCTCTCCTCCGCTCGTCTTCTCCTCTGCTCTCCTCCTCTTTTCTCCTCCTGTGCTCGCCTCATATGATTCCCTCCTGTGCTCTCTTCCTGTGCTCTCCTCCTCTCCTCTCCTCCTCTGCTGTCCTCCTCTGTCCTCCTCGCCTCCTTTCCTCTCCTCCTCTGCTCCTCTCTTTTGCGGGTGTCATATGCTCTTCTATTCGCCTCTCCTCCTCTGCGTTTCTCGTCAGCTGTTCTGTTCTGCTTTGCATTGCTCTGTTCCTCTCCCCATCTTCTCCTCTCCTCCTCGGCTTTTCTTCTCAGCTCTACCCCTCTGCTGCTACCATCTGCTCCTCTCCTCTCCTCCTCTGCTCTTCCCATCCACTCCTCTTATCCTCTCTTCTGCTCAACTGATATTCTCTCCATCTCTTCTCCTCTGCTGTTCTCCTCTCCTCTCCTCCACTGCTCTCCTCTTCTCCCTCCTCTGCTCTTCCCTTCTCCTCTCCTCATATACTCCTCTCCTCTCCTATCCTCCTCTGCTGTTCTCCTCTCTTCCTCATATCCTCTCATTTCCTCATCTCCCCTTCTCTTCTCCTTCTTTCCTCTCCTCTGTTATTCTCCTGTCCTCCTCTCCCCTCCTGTGCTCTTCTCATCTCCTCATCTGCTCTACTCCTCTCCTCTTATCTTCTGCTCTCACCCTCTGCTCTCCTCCTCTGCGATCGTCATCCGCTCTCATCTGCTCCTCTCCTCTCTTCCTCTGTCCCTCTCCTCTCATTCTCTCATCCTCTCATCCTCTCCTCTTTTCCTTTCCTCCTCTCGTATCCTCTCCTCCTCCCCGTCTCCTCTTCTCCCCCTCTCCCCTCCTCCTCTCAACTCCGAAGTTCCGGGTGTCACCCTCTCGATTCCCAAAGTACCCCCGAGGAAATTCGGAATTCCGGAGATCCGGGTTTCACACTCCTTGTTCCCGTGCTTTTCGCTCATTTGTTCCCTCTCTTCCCCCCCCACCCCTCCTCCTTCTCTTTCGTTCGCGGGGCCGCCGACATCTCAAGCTGACCTCCTATATTGGTGCAACGCTGCCCTCAGGAGGCATTCGCGCCATCTCGGATGTCCTTGGCCTTCAGTTCGCCCGCAATATTTTTTCTCAATTGGGCTTTCAGTTTCCGCCTGTTCCCCCGCCCTCTCCTCCACACTGCCCGCCTGTGGCGCTGGAAGTCGAACGAGAGACAGCGGCGTAAACATGCATATGCGGAGGTCGGCGAGGATTTCTTGAATTGCCGTGTCGGTGGGAAAGCGTCGATGTTGCGCCAGTTGTTGGTCGCATTGCGATCCTGCCTCCTTCGCTTCCTGCTCCTCCTCTTCCCTCCATCTTTTTCAGCTCAGGGCCAAGGACAGGCCATTGTGGACGTCGGACTGGTGGCCTCGAATGCCAG